CAGTTCTGTTTGTGAATATATATATAGTCGGTGAAACTCCGACGAAACAGTTTGTCACAGCCCCTCGTTTGTTGTCCTCTTCTCTCTCTCTGCCTACGGTTTACCGGGCAGTTCTGTTTGTGACGATATATATGATATATATATATACGCCCCTCGTTTGTTGTCCTCTTCTCTCTCTCTGCCTACGGTTTACCGGGCAGTTCTATTTGTGACGATATATCATATATATATATATCGTCAAACAGAACTGCCCGGTAAACTGTAGGCAGAGAAGGAGAAGAGTACAACTAATGAGGGGCTGTGACAAACTGTTTCGTCGGAGTTTCACTGACTCATCAGGAGGCATATGGAGTGTCAGTTACAGCGTAATCAGTTATGGGATCCTGCATCTGGAGGCTGAACCCTATATATATAAAATAAAAACTCACCAATAAAGATACTATTACGACACCCACAATCATTTTTTTTCTATTTCAATCATCATTCCAAGCTGCAAAACACCCGTGGTAAACCACATTCCTGCGGAATAACTACGGCTTTTGGGGTGTTGTCAAGCTGGATCATCATCATCGTCGTTATGCTGATCAAGCAGATCGCCTTCCAAGGCATCATGACAGCATGCAATTGCCGAGAAAGAATATATATCTATAGATCGTCATAGAGAACTGCCCGCTGAACCATTAGCAGTCGCAGGCCAGAGAGGGAGTCACAGTCCCTCATTTGATGTGCTCTTCTCCCTCTCTGCCTATGGTTCACCGGTCAGTTCTCTATGATGATACATAGTCAGTTCTCTATGATGATATATACCTTGTTTGTTGTCCTCTTCTCCCTCTCTGCCTATGGTTTACCGGGCAGCTCTGTTTGATGATATAGATCATCATAGAGAATTTACCCGTGAACTGTAGGCAGAGAGGGAGAAAAGGACGTGAAATGAGGGACGGTGACTCCCTCTCTGTGCTGCGACTGCCTATGGTTCAGCGGGCAGTTCTCTACGACGATACATAGATAGATATATTTTTCTCGGCAATTGCATGCTGTTGTGATGTGATCTGCTTGATCAACATGACGATGATGATGATGATCCAGCTTGACAACACCCGGAAAGCCATTGTTATTCTGCAGGAATGTTATACACGGCACTCTCTTGCTGCTTCTCACCATCACCATCTCTACCGTGCCACAAAGTGTAGATCGCATGGGGGATCTACAAATGGATGACCAGCATCGTTTGGATGAGCCGCACATTTATGCCCCGCCACCTGCATCAGACCTTATGGGTGATCTGCAAAGGACTGACCAGCAAACAACCCAAGACATTTTGGGCTTGCAACACCATCTGGGTGATCTGCAAATTGTTGGCCAGCATCCGGCACACTAGCCTGACATCCTCACCAGTCTCTGTGGTCTGACTGCAACTAATACCTATCTTCACATTCTCCACCGCCCGTTTTATACATCGTCAGACTTCCCTGCAATTGCCCTTCAGCTTCATGCTGATCTTCCCTGCTTATAGCCAGAGGATTGTAATTATACCAGGGAAAGAGGCCCTACCATTGATGTCCTATCAGTAGCAACGAGGGACCGCCAACTTGAACTACACAATGCTTGAGCAGGTGAGTGGTTGAACCCTTCATCCCACATCTCTGCCTGCATTGGGCACGGACCTGACCATTACATGGCCATTGTATAATGATGCTGTTTTCTTGCCACACCAAGCCGTCTGCAATCTCTTTTATGTCGAAGATCATTCCTCTGGCCCCGTGCTGCGGCAGGACAATGTACCAACATTCTGTGATTCTTTGCACAGTTACAAGCATTGTTGCACTCGGCTGTAGTCGCCATCGTCTCTGTGACAATCACCACAGTGACATGGTTTCTGCATCCATGTGTGTAGAGGGCCCAAATTTCCCAAGGTTCGTCCCCCTTACGTCTGGCCGAACCCCCGAGTGTTCGGGGGGGGGGGGGGGGGGGGGGGTGGTGTATAGACCCCCCTCGTCCGAACGTTCGGTCAGGTAAACACTATATATAGCCCCTCGTTTGTTGTCCTCTTCTCTCTCTCGGCCTGCGGTTTACCGGGCAGCTCTGTTTGAGGATAAAAAATAAATTGTTTTTTTCTTGTTTTTTCGCTTTTGCGCTCTGACATCTTTGTGACGATATATATTCTCACATATGTATATGTATATGCAGCCTCCTGATGAGTCTGTGGAATTCTGACAAAACAGTTTGTCACAGCCCCTCATTTGTTGTCCTCTTCTCCCTCTCTGCCTACGGTTTACCAGGCGTCTCTGTTTGACGGTACATATATCATCAAACAGAACTGCCCCGTCGGCAGAGAGCAAGAAGAGGACAACAAACGAGGGCCTGTGACAAACTGTTTCATCGGGGTTTAACCGACTCATCATAAACCCTGATTCATCAGGAGGCTGAATGGGGGCAGCCACCGCTCAAACACATCCATGTGGGCGGCCTTGTACGCAAGAGGTTCTGAACAGGGGGAGTTGTAAGTAAGAAGATAAAAAATGAATTGATACCTTTTTTGTTTCCTTTTGTTTTTCTCGCTTTTGCGCTCTGATAACTTTGTGACAATATGTGAAATAGCATGCTAACGGGTGGCCTTGGAAGGGGATCTGCTTGATCAACATGACGATGATGATGATGATCCAGCTTGACAACACCCCAAAAGCAATAGTTATTCTGCAGAAGGGTGGCTTACTGCGGGCGTTTTGAAGCTTGGAATGATGATTGAAATAGAAAAGAAATGGCCGTGGGTGCTACACTAGTAGCTTTATTGGTGAGTCTTCTTAGCCTAGTAGGCTTCTTTTTTTTTGGGTACTCTTTAAAAAGCCTAGGCTGTTGTAGAGGCCAGCTACTAGGCACACGGTGAGTGCCGGGAGCAGTCGGCCATGGCTGTCCTGACTTGGTGAGGCCACCTCCTATCCCATCCTCACATCAATACTCCTAGTGCACCCCGTCTCACTATCCTACCTCAGTGTGATGCACTCAGGACCATCACCCTACCAGCAGGCGGGCAACTTGGACCAAACAGCAGTGACAGGCACCAAGGCTGCACCTCCTCCAGCCGTGATGGAAGTGGAATCGAACGAGCCTCGTCGTGCGGGAACTTCGGACGCCAGGCTCAAGCAGAATGCCACTGGCCCCTAAGGGTCGATAGGGGCAAGCTAACACCCAAGGACACATCCTACCGTCCTTCCCCTAGTTTTCAAGCTGCGCCCAACGTGGCAACAGTAGCAGCCATTGCAACCTGAGGTGCAGCATGCTCTCCCGGCGAGAACATAAATTGTCAGCCTTATCTTTCTGCATGCATATTGTTGTACCACAGTGGCTTTTGCCCGGGCTTCTGAACACTGGGAGATATGGAGTAATGGCGTACTCTGCGATCACCCATATCCGTGAGTTCCCGTGTGCTTATCGCACCTTCGTTATACTTGATTGTATCATATTGGCGCTATGGTTCTGTCAATCTCCGTTATGCATGAGTTCCCATGCGTTTATGGCACGCTCCTCTGGGTGATGGACCGTAACCTGAACGGAACTCCAGGACTGAAACTACAGGACAGGAAACACTGTCTTGAAAATTTCCTTACTGCGGGACTGCAGGCACAGTGATCCTTGTCTGCGGACACCACCGTCTATGTGTGCAATACCATGATGATGGGATAGTTTCAGAAGCGAGATGCTGGGAGCAATTGTATCTTTGCTCTCCGTGAGCATCCCCTACACCCAGAGGTAGCGTGCACAATTTGCCGCCGGGATGGTGTGATGAATTTATGTTCTCATGCAGTGAACCTTCGAACCACCCTCACTTGTTACCAGCATGCACATATTCAGAGCATATGGTCACCACCAGCCGGTGCAATGCCTGTTGCCTCAAATCCTCTGTGTTTGGTTCACGCAGTCTGCGTCATTCATTGTACTCCTGCACTATTTGTTGGCAAGGCTGCTCTCAACTCCTAATCACTGCTTCACAAGCTCAAGTTGTTCGCCTGTCCATTCCTGTCATGTCTTTGGGAGGGTGTGCAAGTGGGCTTGTAGGAACCACAGAAGTGTGTGGGCACTTGCCGCTCAACCACGCAAGCATGGGCAACCTTGCACTCTGTTCAAGCTTCGGAAAAGTGTTTTTTTTGTTTTATTTAATAATTTGGACCATTTCTCGATTTATGCGTGTCATCCTTGCGTAGCGGCCATGCTAATTTTCTCTGTATCGTTCCAAAGTGGACAAACAAAAAGTAAAAAGGGGAAAAAAAAACAAAATGAAGGGTGCACTACTTTTCTCTGTTCTTTTTCGTCTTTCTCTCTCACAAAGGTGCTCTTAGTTTGTGTGTGTGTGTGTGTGTGTGTGTGAGAGAGAGAGAGAGAGAGAGAGAGAGAGAGAGAGAGAGAGAGAGAGAGAGAGAGCATTGGATTCTGCTTGTTTGACTGAATGGTGGTGGCAAGGGTTGCTGGAAAGAGGGTCATGATGAAAAGAACTAACAACAATGTCTGAAGGAGTGGGGAATCCTGGTGGCCACGGGTAGATATAGAATTATGTGATCACAGCACTCTCTGATATCCCCAAGTCATTTTATTGCTGTAATCCTGATGTATGCTGTAATTTTGTGATCTGCTAGGTTGGTGCTTACAGGTGATTGGCTCCCCCTCACCTCTCTGGGGCTTTTATTCTCCGCGTTTTACTGTCTTTCACGTCCGTGTATAGCCCGTCGACCTGATCCATTACAGTCATGTGTTCCTATCTTTTGTCCTGTTTCTATTTCCTTTTCCGCTCTCTTCCCATCCTTCTGGTCGTGCTACCTCTCTGTCCCTCTTATCGTCCTCTTTCTGTCTTTAATTTTACTTACTCTGTCTGCTCTTTGTTTTGTAAGAAATCCCTGGCACCCTCCCTACTGTCTTCTCCTCTCGCTTCCCTTTCGGTTGCCGTTTCCACGATCGTTCAATTGCATCTGACGTTGCTTCTAATATCTTGTACTGCAGGACGAGTTGTTAATACGCATCCTAGCGGATGTGGCCGCGCAGGCCACTTGTCCAAGAGACTTCGGGAATCCGATGTTAACGTGAGTGTGCACTCTTCTCTCAACCCAGGTGCTCATACTGATCGCCCTGTAGTGTGTGTATTGCAGTCTTTTGGACATACTGTCTGACTGAATGTGGAAAGGAAAGAAAAATGCATACTTGCACAGTATGAAAGGAGGCAGGGTAAAGGAGGAGGTATACTACTGTTCATTTGTTCAGATCTTCAGCTTATATTTTGTATGTTGTCTTGATGATGCTCATTCGTATGCATTTACTAGTAGTATACGAGGGGAGGGAGGGAAAAAAGGGGAAGGAGGTGGAGCTCTATGGGAAGCGAGGTGCGGGGGAGGGAGAAGGGGAAGAGGAGGGAAGTGGAATGACAAAGAAAGGGGAAGAGGAGGGAAGTGGAATGGCAAAGAACAGAACAGAGGCATGTCAAACTTCGCAGGGTTCCCAATACTCACTGCTGGAGCAGAGTACTCTATAATGGCAGGAGAGGTTGGTCTGTGTTTGGGTTGCAGAAGATTTCGGAGCAGCCGTTGCCTATGGTAAGTGGCCGCCCCTACAGCCTGGACGGGACCAGTTTGGGTGTGGACTGTGGAAGCACCGCATCCAATTTTGGCAGTTGCAGTTGCTGGATCAAATGGGACGGCGTAGACAGATTATACATGTACGTGGCCCTTACATGGTAGAAATACAGAGGCACGCCAATTGCAATTGTATAGGCATTCGCGGTCTACGGATTGGACATGACATGTCAGGGTGCCGTACATGAGTGGATCGTTGGAAACAAAAACTTGCATGGGCCATGCCTTCATAATCCTCACGAACAAGGCATGCAAATCACTAGCCGAATCTCAGGTGGGCCATCATTCTTCCCCCTCTTTGGACAGACGACGACGGGGACTGATCCAAAGCAAGGTTGTTTAGCTGTTGCAAGATTTGGTCTGCAACAGCTTGCCCTGGCGGAGATAACCTTCAGTACAGTGCTCTGTTGGTGGTTCATGTGGTAGTCTTGTTTTCCTCAGGCTGCTGTGTCTGTTGTTCGTCTGGCAAGGCGGTTGCAGCAGGTGTATGCCCAATGCTCGATGTGGGGCGTTCTAGGAGAAACTGTGGCAGATAATGGCATCACTACAATTATAACAATCGCTATGTCATAGCATGTGACCAGCAGCCGATCTGGGGCCTTCGTTTCCTTGGCGCGCGACGGTCCAGATTGGCTGCTGATTGTTTTCAATGTCATCAACTTGCGATCTGGACTGTCGTTGGCGCTGTACCGCACGGCCCAGATTGCGTCTTGATCGTTCTCCAGATGATCGCTGGGCCGGTAGCTGGGCCTGGAGGCAGGCCCTGGCCCGGTAGTGCCACATGCGGTGCTATGGGGCCAGGGCCTGTAGGCCTTGTGCAAATCCGCACTCCCCAGGCCCCGGTTGTGTGGCGCGCGGCACCAGTCCAAATTCACTCCCCAGGCCACGGTAGTGCTGTGCTGGGCCGGTAGGCCCTGGGGTTGTAACAATAACAAACTTTTTTTAGTGAGGCAGCCGCAAATTCACGCCTCCCAGGCCCATGTAGTGCCGTGCGCAGCACCTGCGCAAATTCACACTCCCCAGCCACGCAGGGCCACATCTAACAAACTTTTTTGGGGGAGGTGCGCACACGACTTGGATGCTACTCTACGTACTGCGCTCGACTTCGACTCTCTACGACCCGACTCTAGGCTACTGTTTGACTTGGACTCCCTATGCACGCACTGGACCTCGACTATCTTCGCTCGACTTTGCTACTGTCCCTCTCTCTCTTTCTCTACCTCTACGGTACTCTACGCTACTGTGGACTTCGACTCTCTACGATGCGAATCTACACTACTGCGCTCGACTTCGACTCCCTACATGAACACACATTTGCAGTCATGTGCACCCACCGACTCGCCCACAACGTGCGCGCGCGTGCATGTGTGTGTGTGTGTGTGTGTGTGTGTGTGTGTGTGTGTGTGTGTGTGTGTGAGAGAGAGAGAGAGAGAGAGAGAGAGAGAGATTGTTTCTTAAACTCCGTCGTCCTTTTATTATTGAATGCGGTGTGCACACGCCGCATTAAACCAAGGCCCAAGATTCAACGACCGAGTGCACATGCTGCATAATTACAACCAAGGGGCGTGCGCGCGTGCGTGTGCAAGAGAGAGAGAGAGAGAGAGAGAGAGAGAGAGAGAGAGAGAGAGAGAGAGAGAGAGAGAGAGGTCTCACAACAAGCTAACGGTTAGGTAAAGTGGGGAGTTCGGAAAGGTCATGTCATATACGCAGGATCGCGGGGGAGGTGAGGGGGCACATGCTGCATAATTACAACCAAGGGGCGTGCGCGCGTGCGTGTGGAAAAGACAGAGAGAGAGAGAGAGAGAGAGAGAGAGAGAGAGAGAGAGAGAGAGAGAGAGAGGTCTCACAACAAGCTAACGGTTAGGTAAAGTGGGGAGTTTGGAAAGGTCATGTCATATACGCGTGGGGGAAGGTAGAGGGAGTTTGGGGAACTTGATCGTGAGATGCTTTCCGCGCATTAAACCAAGGCCCAAGATTCAACGACCACGTGCACGTGCCGCATAACTACAACCAAGGGGCGTGCACGCATGGGTGTAAGAGAGAGAGAGAGAGAGAGAGAGAGAGAGAGAGAGAGAGAGAGAGAGAGAGAGAGAGAGAGAGAGAGAGAGAGAGAG